ACTCTTCTTTATCCCGTGGCCCACCACTGTGGACTCTTCTTTATCCCATGGCCCACCACTGTGGACTCTTCCTTACGCCTTCTCCTTTTTCATATTCTCCAGGCAGGACTCAATTCCATCCAGGCCACACTGATTATAACTGGAAAAAAATATTTGCCTTTCCACAATAGCCCTAATTTAATTTAACACCATCTATTCCACAGTCTGCCCTAGTAAATTAGCCCTCCACTCGAAATGACCAATATCCTCACTTTCCTGACCTAGTCTAAGGCCCTTCGCTCTTCTTAATCTTCAGCTGACAATCTGTCTGCCAAACTCTGAAGACAGTGAACCCATGCTTTTACCATCGCATCTCCCAGTGGGCTTCCCTAGCCCAGCGCTCTCCCCTGCCTACTGCCCCCACCTGTCCCTGCTCTCATTCCGGGCTGATCTCTTTACCTGTGCACTATTCCTCTTATTCAATTCAAGGGTTAAATCCCTACCGTGGTCCTTGCTCTCCCGTTCTTCCTTTGTATTGTGTCCTTCCTTTTTGTAACCTGTCTTTCATCCCCCTCCAGCTAACTCACCCTTCAGATCCTCTTCACTGTTTCCTCCAAGGACCGCCTCCTCTGTCCTAGGCCCCGCCCCCATCTCCTTCACCAATCCCATTGAGACATCCACCCACCTTCCTAGAGCCCACTGTCACCATTGCTTACCAGATTCCAAACACCAAACACGCTGAGCTCCTGTGTGCTCCCAAATCAGCTCACACACACACACACACACACACACACACACACACACACACACACACAGAGGTAGCTTGTAGCTCCCTCATAGGGCCGGTTCTCGAGTTCTTGTCTCAGTCTGCTCTGAACTTATATGATCCTCCCATGATCCTCCACCCCTTCACTGCTCCCTCATTCCCTTGCCTGGTCACTTTCCCACCACAGGCCTCCCTGCCACGAATATTGCCGGTTCCTGTATAAAGCGCTCAGTTCCTATGTCCCCCGTGGGAATGTTAAGAGCCATGGAGGCAGTACCATTGCTGGTCCTGCTTGTTGTTGGATGCCTAGTCCAGGAGGAGGGCCTGGTGTGTGATGGGAACTCAGTAAATATCTGTTGAGTGAATGGGCAATCAAATACAGGTCAGGACACATACAAAGAACCTCCCACAATATCCCTTCTTGAAGCTACCAGCCATTCTTGAGAGAAAATGGGAATTGTGCCTTTTGCAATACAGTCCTCGTTTATAAATAAGGAGGCTGAAGGAGTTGATTGGGGGGGGGGGGAGTGGAGGCTACATAGCCTGTGTGTGTAGTCGTTGAGAGGCAAGGCTGGCTTCTGACTTCCTGCCCTTCTTCCACTCATCAGATCTCCTCCAGCCCTCTCCTCCCTGGTCCTACCCAGCGGCGGCTCAGCGTCAGCGCCAGTATCGGAGGGGAGACCGGACTGATGAGCTGTGTGCTCCCAGATGACCTCCTTGTTCAGATCCTGGCTGAGCGGATACAGGTGCGTGCACACCCGCCACACAAAGCTGCAGGCTTGGAGCTCACACACAGCCCACATGCCAGCCCGTCAGCCACCTTTAGTGGCTCAGAGCCCACGGGTCTCAAAGAGGGAACGTGGGCTTCTTCATGCTCAACAGCGGCTTGCTTGTCTTTTTGTCAGCTCTTGCCCATGACCTCTCCCTGTCCTCCAGGCAGAAGCCACTCTTCTTTTTAAAGAACCAGGGAGCAGAAGGTTACACATCAAAGAAATAAAGCAAAAAGAGCAATGTGATCAAGGTGTGGTGTGGGCAGCAAGAAGTCCAAGCTTGCCTGGCATGGCGGTGTCTACCTGTAAACCCCGCGCTGGGAAAGCTGGAGCATGGGGTTGTGGGATTGAGACCAGATTGGGTTGCACAGTGAGATTTTTTTTGTCTCAAAAATAAAACATGGGTCTCTGTAAATTGTTGTTTTAAAAAAAAAACTGTTTTCATAGTATAATGTGAAAAAGATGAATACGTAAAGCAAAATGGTATTTTATACATTTGCAAATAATGTCACATCCATGGGAAAATATTCCTACAGTCTGAGTTACTCTCTGTGGTTAGTAGGTCTATGGATTTTATATCTCCTTTTATCTTTCTCACGTCTTCTTAAAGGCATACTCTTTTAAGGTCAAAACCAATGGGATTTTTTTTTTTAAAGAACTTGGGGGGACTGGAGCTGCAGCTCAGTGGAAGAGTGCCTGCCTTCCTGGCTCATCTCCAGCACCACATGGACACGTGAAAAACCTACATAAATGCTCTGTAGTCCCGACCAGCAAGGCCTAGGAGGTCCGAGAGCTGTGTGTTTCCTTAAGTTTCTCACACTGGACAGCTATTAAGTGCACTTTTTTTCATGTGTTCATGTGTATAGGGTACGTGTGTGTGTGTGTGTGTGTGTGTGTGTGTATGTTTATATCTGTGTCCACATGGGTTGGAAGCCATGGGTTGGACATTGATATCGGGTATCGCCTTCAGTTGTTCTTCACTTTCTATTTATGAAGTCGGGTCCCCACAGCAGACAGAAGTTACCCATCCTGACTACTCTTGTTAGCCTGCTTTATTGCAGAGATCTCATCTTGGCCTCCCAAGTGCTGAGATTACAAGCAGCACACACCTGCCTCATACCTGCCTGCTTGGGTGCTGGGGATTCAACTCCATTCTTCATGTTTGGTCCTGGCCATTGGTGGCTCTGCTGAGCTCCTTCAAGTAATACCACATTGCAGGAGAAGCTGTCCTTCAGTGGTTGTAACACCAAGATTCCAGTTCAGTTACGCTGCCAAAGTCATTCCACTCCAAGGCAGTGGGACTGCTAAGAAACTATAGGCCTGGGAGACAACCTAGTGGCAAAGTATTTGCCTGAATTGGGTCTTCTATCAGGCACCTCATAAAAATCTGGGCATGGTTTTATATACTTCCAACCCCAGATCTGGGCAGACAGAGACCAAAGGATCCCTGAGACTCACTGGCCAGCCAGCCTAGCAGAATCAGTGAACCCTAAGTCCTAATGAGAGACCTTAGTTTTTTTGAGAAACACACACACACTCAGAGAGAGAGAAAGAGAGAGGCAGAGAGAGAGACAGAGAGAGAGACAGAGAGACAGAGAGACAGACAGAGACAGAGAGACAGAAACAGAGAGACAGACAGAGAGACAGAGACAGAGAGACAGAGACAGAGAGACAGAGGTATAGAGGGGAGAGATGGACAGCTGTCAAGGAATAACACCCAAGGTTGTCCTCTGGCTTCCACTTGTATGTACTTGCATGTGCATGTGCACCTGTACATAAACATGCACATACATGTACACGCATGTACATACACAAAAAGAAAAGTTCAAACGGGCTCTTGCTGCTGGGTTCTCCACCCACTGTGAGAACCCTTCCCTTTTCTCTCCTTTGCATCTTATTTTCATACCCCTCTTGGAGCTTTCTAGATCTTTTGACACTTTCTTTGTTCCTTCATTCTACACACAGAGATGGAATAAATCCTTTGTTCTTCAATCACTGGCCATTACACTCTCTCATAAATGTGTCATTAAGGCATTTAGTCTTCATTTACACTTCGTGGGGGGGGGAACCAGTAAATTCCATAAAAATACCTCTTTCATTCCCATCAGTGCCTGGACTTTGGATTCGTGCTGTTTATTTTGGAGCCCAGTGGGTACATCGAACCCAACAGAAGAAAAAGCCTTCTCTCCATAGAGAAGAGTTGACTCAGGCTGAACTAACCATCTCATTCTCTCTGCCTGCAGCTGAGTGACTGTTTCAGGGGTGTGGTGTTCGATGGCCTGGACACGCTCTTTGCACGGAATGCACCCTCTGCCCTCCTCTGCCTGCTAAAGGCCATCGGCAGCCGGGAGCACATATATGTCATCAACATGTCTCAGGATTATGTGGCCATGAAAGCCCAGGAGAAGGCTAAAAAGGAGCTAGAAGGCAAGGCCCCTTGACCTCCCTGGATGACCTTCCCAAGCCCAATGGGGCTTTCCTTCCCACGGAGCCCTTGTGACTTTCACCTGGTTCCCCTGGTGTAATAATCCAATGGGTTTAAATGACATTGTCACCCTTGTGTCTCACTGACACCCAACCTCTGTCCTGGGAAGTGACCAGGGCACATATTTCTAATTATAGGCAGGCTAAGGAGAACATACCATGAGGACATCCTGGCCTAAGATGCTTTGCTTCCTGGTTTGGTTTTAAAGCAACCATGCTATTCGTTTAAACTAATGGAGCTGTTCTGTATACTTTGGGTCATCTCACCCCTAAAGATTATTGTCCCCAGTTTACAGATGAAGAGATTGAAGCCCCAAATAGGAAAGGACTCTTTGAGATCACATGATAGAGAAATAAGATGGCCCTCAGTAGTTGTAGGCAGAAGGATTGTAAGCTCAAGGCCAGCTTGACTGGATAGCAAGACTACAGTATATTCTATGTACTATGTATACCATATTACTACACTAACATATACTATGGTATATTCAGAAGAGAGCCACTTCTATCATGACTCCGATAGCCAGCAAACAAACAAACAAACAATAACAAAAACCCCCACTAACTAGTAACTGAAAGATTTGATTGAAAACTGGGTTACAAGGACCAAAAAGATGGTTCCGCAGGCAAAGGTGCTACCAAGCCTGACAACCTGAGTTCAGTCCCTGGCCACCAGATGATGGAAGGAGAGAGCCAACTCCTACAAGCTGTATTCTAATCTCTATACCTGGATTATGGTGTGCATGAACACATACACACACAAAGTAAATAAATTAATGTATTTTTTAAAAGAAAAAATAGATTCAATAACATAAAAATAATTTTATTTAAATTATTATTAATTTAATCAGAAGAAGACCACAAAAGCATGGCCTGTGGGGGAGGATTTGAGGACTGCTGCCAACACTGTCCCCAGGAGTTAAAGCCATGTTTCCGTGGAGCCTTAGTTCTTGATATATTACTGTCCTTCGCTCGGGCATTCCTCTCCTGGCACCATCTACACAGCTCATAATATTGAAGTGAGGGAATGTTTAAAGCAGACTTCATTCATGAACAGGACTCAGAGTCTGCTTCCTCAGCTTCTCACCAGGAACAAGGTCCAGGCTTCCTTTGAAGTATTTCAACCTCTTTCTTCCTGGTTATCTAGAACACTTTTCCAAAATGATCAATTTGAAAAAAATGGCTTTTATTTTCCTTGATGATCTTTGAGCTGACACAGAGTCAGTGACTGGTGAGGACTAGCTTGTGGTCAAACTCTGTCTTCTTGCTGAACCTTGGCATCCCCCTTAGGCCTCATTTTAAAGGGCACTAGTTCATTCAGGAGGGCCCCACCCTTATAACCTATTCATCTTCTCAAATGACACTATCATACTGAGGATTCAGTTTCCACCTGTGAATTCAGGGAGACACAAACTTGATGACTTGACCAACCTCCTACTTCCTAGTTATCTAGAACACTTTTCTATAATGGCCCCACCCCATGATATTTGGGCTGAATCCGTATCTCTGTCACAGAATCAGCGTCTGTTGATTCTCACCAGATAAGTCTTCAGGATTACAAACTTGGTGATTTGAAACAACATGGACTCATTATGTGACAGTTCTGGGGTCAAAGGTCTTGAAGTCCAGGTGTCAACAGTATTGTGGGCCTTCAGAGGCTGTGGTGGGGAAGACAACCTCTCTTTACATTTTATAGCTTTCAGACACTACCTGAGTTCCTTGGCCCAGGCCCCTTCCTTGAAGGCCTCATCGTAGAACCTCTGCTTCTTGTGCCGCATCTCTCTGCTTCTGCACTCAGCCCTCTCCTCTTACTCTCTCACCTCCCTCTTACAAGGAACCTTTTGATGGGACTCTACTACTCAAATAACCTAATTCAATCACATCTGCAAAAATCCTCCCACCATGGAAAGCCCCACAATCACAAGTTTAAGGATTGAGACCTGAGCATCTTTGGGGACCACCACTCAGCCAACCATAGATGGAACCCAAACTTGGCACTAGAGAGATGAAGGGAAACCATCAGGGACTGGGACGACCGTCTACCCCTCCTGCCACCTCCCACTGTCAGTGCGTGGGCAAAGCTGCTGAGGCTCCGACATCCCCTCCTCTCTGTTCACTCCACAGAGAACAAGCGCAAGGAAGCTCTTGCGAAGGAGAAGGAGCGTCTCCAGACACTAGACGAGGACGAATATGATGCTCTAACAGCAGAAGAGAAAATCGCATTTGACCGCGAAGTTCGGCAGGCGCTCCGGGAGAGAAAGAAGAGGTGGGACCGAGAGGCTGACCAGAGCAGCCCTGTTCCCTGGGGAGGAACTCACAGGGAGACCAGGGTCGGTAGGATATAGGCTCAGCTCCGAGTGTGTTCCAGAAAAACAGCAATAACCGCAGAACACCTGTGGAGGGTAGGGGAAAACGTTTGGCTAACCCAGGGCCCCTGCTGCCGCAGACTTTCAGAGTGCCTCGTATTATCCTCTGCTCCCTTTCTACTGGGGCATTTGAGACTATCAGGAAACTTCTAATGTCATAGCTAGTTCTAAGGAAGGACTTCATATCCCTGTGTCTTCCCAGGGTCCCACTGGCTGCCCTAGCAAATGATTTCTGGGTAGGACGTATTGTCCTACATGCCTAGGGATCTGCAGCTTATGACCCAGGAGCCACTCTGTTGACAAGAGTATAGTGGCCTAACTATTCTCCCACTTCTTAAGCCCACATGTGGCAGGCTACCTGTGTGATCTTCAACCTAGACAGTTCCCCACAATCCCAATACCCAAGGCAAGTAAGTTCACAGTCAACAGGTACAGCCACTCAGTGGCCTCACGAGGGACGGCACAGGAACTAGATCCCTCTATATCATATAGGGCTCCAGAAAACCGGAGCTGCAAGCTCAGGCTATCCACTTCAGTCTTCCTGTCTTCAGATTTCAGAGTCCTAGGAAGTGCCTATGTACCCTCTGGGGTTTAGAGGGCACAGAGCCATGGTACTCAGATATGATATAAGCCCACTTTCTTCTCTCCCTCTGCCTCCAGACCCCTCTCCGGGACTCTGAAAGAGATTGCCCACCTCCTGTCCCCCCTTCATCTTTGCCTCAGCATAGGAGAAATGTTTACTCATCGAGAGGCATGACGTTAGCTTTGGCACCCCAGGAAATACCCCTTTATCATCAAGGCTGCAGCGCCTGCTACCTTCATGCATTCACTTCATAGTGTACATTTGCACCCCAATGTTCACCACCAAATTGTTTGTAACACACACACACACACACACACACACACACACACACACACCATGAAGAATGTAGACAGAACCTCAAGAAACAGTGAGTTACTGCAGCCAAGAACAACTACAGATTCATGGAGATAAAAAGAAGGAAATCAGGGCTTCCTAAGCTGTCTGTGTTCTTGAGTTCTTCTTGCCTAAGAAATGTTTACCTGGCTAGGCATAGTGGTACATGCCTTTAATCCCAGCACTCAGGAGGCAGAGGCAGGCAGATCTCTGAATTCCAGCTGGAGAGAGAGGACTGGCTTTCCAGAGCCAGCATCATGGCTCTGAGGCAGCTGTGGTAGGGACCGCACTCAAAGAACAGCATTTCCTCCTGTCTGAGCATCAGACATGAGAGCGTAGGAGAGCGTACCTGCGTGGATACCATAGCAAGAGCAGCCTTTGAACATCCTTTTTCTCAGTGGCCAAGCTTATTTTCAGCCTTTGTCTTTCTCTCCCATGAAGAGAGTCAGGACTAGAAATACAAATAAGATTTCTTTAAAAAATCTAATCACATTTAATTCATCAGAGATTTGCTGAGTGGCCTTTCAAAGTTAGTTTTGGCCCTTTCATTTCATTCATTCATTCATTCAGTCAGTCAGTCAGTCATTTTTTAATTCATTCCCTTCCTTTCTCCTTCCCTCTCCCCTTCACCTTCCTTCTCTCCTTCCTTCCAAGAAAGCCCTGTCCAGGGTCCCTCCTCCTGGCAGTCACAACTTGGCAGGTGGAACAGGAGGTGCTGAACTCTGTTTTCCTGTCTCTGGCTTGCTGCAGGGAGCTAGAGAGACTCGCCAAGGAGATGCAGGAGAAGAAGCTGCAGCAGGAGCAGGAGAGGCAGAAGGAAGAGGACGAGCTGAAACGGAAGATCAAAAGGCCTAAGCAGGGCCCTGTGGCAAAGGAGGAGCCACTCCTAAAGAAGCAACAAGGAGCCACGAACAAGCAGGTAGCAGCCCTTCCTTGCTCTGCCCATACCGAGAAGCTGACTAACCAGCTGTGTCTGGATATTGTCTAAGGGCAGAAGGTGGAAGAGCTGAGCCCAGCGAGCATTGAGCATGACCCCATGGAGACACTGAGTTTGTGCTTCACTTGGCCATGCATTTGATATCCCACACATGCAGAAGGACAGTGGTCCCCACCTCTGGTCCACAGACAAAGTCAGATTCCCAGAACCCTACACAGTAATGTATTCTACTCTTTGTTCTTTCCTTTGCTGATGCAGGACCGTGACTGGTGCTAAATAGGTTAGCATTAAAGACTTACTTCCAGGGGCATCAGTAGGTTCCTTCCAGCACCTATGACATCTGCAGCCATGGTTTGTTTGTTTGTTGTTTTGGTTTGGTTTGTTTTTACCATATTTAAAGTACCAGGTATGATTTCCCTCCTGTGAATAAGTCCTCAGTTGCAATCAAGAGAACATTTGGTTGCTCCCATAAATAATCCTGCTGCTGCTGCACCCGTGTGTACATTTTCCCTAGCAGGTTATTTGTAGCATGCAATCCAGGGCTGCCTAAGATCATTGGCGTCTTTTCTCTCCTAGCAGCTCTAAAAAGCCAACCAGTAAGGAGAGAATCTCCTGATCAGTTCAAGTCTGATTTCCCTACATCCGGCCATCTATTTAGGGGCAAGCTGCATGCGTATCACCTGAGCTTGGCACAAAATGCATTTGACCGTATTCCTTGGGAAGACTTCTTGAAAGCCTTCTTGGTCTAATGTAGTCACCTGATCTGAAAACAGTAGCTCAGAGAAAGCCAGATGAGACCAGATAGATCCTCTGGGAGTGAAAGGAGACACCAGGGGGTGCCTGGTGATAGGGAAAGACAGGCAAACTTGAGAATCACCCAGTTTTAAGACCCAAGGTATCCTTCAACCCTGTGCCTTCCTGACCAGAACTGTGTTTCTCTTGTTCTTTCATAATTAAAATGTCCAAAATCTTTTTCTCTTCTCAGACTTCTACATTCCCTTTCATGCTTCATTCTTTACCCTGCCTCAGTCTCCATTACACATTTTTGACCAAAGTCTCCAACAGTCACTTCATGTCGGCATCGGGCAGCCACATGTCTGACTTGGTCTGGCCCTAACTCCCTTCCTCATCAGTCATCCCACAGGTTTTCAGCCTCAGCTTCTCCTCCTTCGACTTGGTCACTTTACCCTGTCTGCTATGCTCTCCAACGCCTCTGCTGTGAAAGCATTTATAGACAGCCCGATGGGCTCCCGTGAAATAACAAATCATGAAGACACTCGTTCCTCATTCGATTAAACCCACTGAAGAATTCACAGCAAAATGGACTTGAAGGAAGTAGGTCACTGAGGGAGTGTCTTCAAAGGCTTTGAAGCTTGTCCCAGGGCCTTCCCACCATTTCTTTCTCTCTGCTTCCTGGATACCATAAGAGATATCAGAGTTTGCTTTAAATGTGGCCATCTTATCATTCTCAATTATTATCAAGAAGTAATTCACGGTGTTCTCTTCCTTACTGTGTCTTTAAACAGCTTCTAACCATACTGTCCAGTCTCCATTACCGTGCCACAGGCATTCATACCTTTCTCTGTTATTTTTCAATTTTGTTAGAAGTTTTTCATCTCAGGGATGGAGACATCCTCAGTTCAGTCCCCAGTACTTCATAAAAAATGGGCATGGTGGCACACACTTGTAATCCCAGCACTCAGGTGATGGAGGCAGGAGGATCAGAAGCTCAAGTTCACGGCCAGCCCCCATCTCCAAAACTGTTATTTTCAATCCCTTTCCAAAGAACCATGGTGGCCTCTGTGACACCTTCCCACTGTGTTTGTTCTCTGACGGGTTTCTCCTCCCACCTTTTCAAACTGTCTTCCTCTTTACTTTGTTTTCCTTCCCCTTCTCCTCCTAACTTCTTATGGTCAATACTAATGTTACTTGTTTTTATTTTCTAATTTATGAAAAGTTGCAAGCATGTTTGCAAGCGTTGTTTGATTGGTACCCTTGCATTGCTGACATGTGGTGCTGGCGTTACTGGTCCCCTTCATGCTTCCTGACTTCTCTTCATAGCTGTTTAGCTCATAAATTGTTTCCAAGCATATTGTCCAATTTCCAAGTGAATGGCTTCCTTCCAAAAAGGGATCTTTTCTCAGATTTCTGGCTCCAGAGGTCATGTCTGTCCCATGTTTTATTGATCCTTCATATTTTCTAGGCTCTGCTATGTAACCTCCTACATGAATGGCTTTTTTTTTTATATAAATACCCTGCATGTTCCCAAATCCTTCCTTATTTTTTGTAACCTTTCGTCAGCCTCTAGGTACTCTATATTGAGTTTCTATAGTCTCCAACTGAAAGTCTTCCCTCTCAGCTGGTAGCACTTTTCATACCAACCCTGGTGTCTCCATGGTGGCTCTGCAGACTGAGACAGCCTCTCACAGGAGCTCAGGTGGGGTGCTGGGATTCTTACTTATAAGGCTCTGACAAGCGCTTTCATGTGGCCATCTCGCTGGGCCGTGTTCGAGATGGAGTAGAAAAAGAGGCTTGGTGAGATAAGAGGGAAGACAGCTCTTGGTCACTCAAGACTCCATACCAGAAGCAGGCCTCAATTTAGCTGGGACGTGGGATACTGGGCTATGTACTGCAGGGAGTTATCATGAGTTTGGACTGAACTTACTATCCCATAAAAACACCCCACAAAGTGATGGAACAACCTAAGGATTTCATCCAAGCCCCCCCCCCAAAAAAAAGCCAAAGCAGAGCCCACAAAATACATGTTAAAGCCCAGTAAGAAAGGGAGGTGAGGGCTGCTGGCTGTATATCAAGTTCATTGGATAAATAAGTATTTTTTTAAAGACAAAATGGGACCAGATTCTAAACTGCTATTTGTCCCCAGAAATGCAATGCAAAGCTATGTAGTTTTAATAGCTTCATGCTAAAAGAACCCTTGCTCTATGAGAGACACTGTTGCAAATGTCTTATATCGAAGTGCATACTCAGTCATTAACAAAATCCTTTGATGTGCCTATTAACTCTCCCCCTCACTGGGAATTGAACTTAAGACCTCTGGAAGAACAGCCAGTGCTCTTAACCTCTGAGCCATCTCTCTAGCTCTACTATCCCCACTCTACAGAGAAAGGACTAAGTTGTCAGCAGGGTCACAAAGCTGTAACACTGATGGGGCTTGAGCCACCGCTCTCTCTGAAATCATGTGCAGAACACTGCAATTTGCTGGCCTTTCCGTATTGGTCCTTGAGATCAGCAGCCCCGGAGCAGGACTACGTGTTAAAATGACTAGGTACCTATCTCAAAATTCACAAGGCAGGGAGTAGCCACATCTACAATGTAAAACCATGAGGTAGACCTTTCACTGAAGCTCCCCACATTACCTTCAAAGTGATTCCTAAACTTACTGCACCTAAGGAGGTTCCCGAATCCTAGGCCTCCTGGTGAAACAAGATGTTTCTTGTCCTGCATACAGTTTTGCTTGTCTTTAATAAGCTGATTGATGTATAATTTACATTTTGCTTTCTAGATTCCCACTGTTGCCAAATTAGAAATGAAGATGGAGTCCATAGAAAGGAAAGTTTCTGTCAGAGAGCATGCAACACTTGAAGAAACCACCAGGAAAAAGAAAGCCACGACCGAATATGCGTTTGGATTTCCAATTACCCAGGAACAAGAGGACAGCGAAGGAGACTTCCTGAAGGACTCTGACAAGAACCTGGCACAAAAGTTTAAAGTCTATGACACATGTCTGAAGGACGTCCAAAGCATCCTCATGTACTGGGACCGCAAGCAAGGGATGCTGGTACCTCATGCGGGCACTGAGGAGCCATCACATGAGGTTGACGACCAGCGCCAGGCACCTTCAGGGGGTGGAGGTCGCAGGGGTCGCAAGGACCGGGAGAGGGAGCGCCTGGAGAAGGAGCGAGCTGAGAAGGAGCGCCTCGAAAGGGAGAAGGCTGAGAGGGAGCGCCTGGAGAAGCTGAAGGCCATGGAGGAGCGGAGCGACGAAGGGGAGGGGGAAGAGGAGCATGAGGGAAAGAAGGATCTCGGGGTGCCCTTTATCAACATACAGACTCCTGACTTTGAAGGCATAAGCTGGAAGCAAGCCCTGGAGAGTGACAAGCTTCCCAAAGGAGATCAGGTACAAGGGCTTCTGTGGGGTAAAGCAACAGGGAGACCTAGGGACCACACTACCATAAACATGTCTCTTCTTATTGAAAAATCCACAGACCCTTTGATTAATCTCGGATAGATACAGGACAACAATAGCTAAAGGGACCTTTTTCAATCCATAGACAGTTCCACCAGTCTGTTCCATCTGTCTAGCCTCATTAAAAGCCATCCTTACATCTGATCTTTAATATTGGCAACACTAGTACCCAGGGGAATGAGAGATGTGCTTTGGAGACAATCAGAAGACTTCTCTATTCCAAGATTCTCTCCTATGAAAGCTTTCAATTGGGATGGGAATTGATCTATTAGGTAGGCAGCCTTTTACTACCACCAACAAAAGCTAGGTGCCTTATAAAGCAACCTCAACTGGCGGTTTAGGGGAAGGAGGTTTTTTATAATAAGATAGATAGATAGATAGATAGATAGATAGATAGATAGATAGATAGGTATATATGTGTGTGTTATATATAGTACATATTTTTTTATATATACTTTTTCTGTAAAGCATTAGAAAGTAAAATTCTAGTCTTAAGGTCACACAGTTTTTCAACAACCACTTACCTCGGCCGTGGGAGGTTGAAGGCAATCATTAACAAGATACAACGGCCTTGGCCATGTTCCAATAACTTTTATTCGCAAACGCAAACAGCAGGCCAAATTTGTCAAAGAGCGGGCGGGACTACAGTCTGCTGACCTCTGGTTCAATCAGAAATTAGGTAGACCAGTTAGGACAGACGAGAGCCCTAGAGGGATGCGTGGCAGCAGGAGTCGGAGGAGGGTGAAAGCGGTTCTGGTGAGTTTCCTCACTGCCTTAGGTCCAGGGAAGAGCCGAAGAAGACACAACACACTCCCTCTCCACAGCTCACAAGCTTTGTTTCAGGACAAGCTTAGGTAAAGAACTGGGGGAGTGAGGACTCAAAAAAATCCTTTCCTCCTTAACCAGAACAATTTACTGTACAGTTTTATACCCTCTGCATTCAGACACATGGGTTGATTAGACTATTAATTTAATATCTGGTACTAATAAAAATTGGTTATTAATTTAATAATTAAAGCTTTCTCTGTGGACATTCTAACTCCTAGGAAGCAACTCCAGTTCCATGTTGGGATGCTCCGTGGTCCATGGGATGGGACATATAGGCTATATGGAGGTCTTGACTTGGTAGGCCTACCAGACCACTTAGTCTACAGAACAGGCTATGGCCATCACTAGTGTGGTTGACAGTCCAGGCCCTTGCTTTGAAGATGACTCATATATTTATAGTCATGAGTCTATGTCAGAGTACCAGAGTACAGTGAGAGAAAGCCCCAGAACCTGACCTTTGTTTTCTAAGCTTTTCTCTTTGCTGTATATAACCTGCCCCGATCCCAACGTCTGCTTGTCTTTGTATAGAAAGAACATTTAAAGAAAAAAATAAACATGAACTACAAGAGTAGATGAATCAGATCTATGCTACAGACATCTGAAACTTAGGAGCTGGTCTGTTTAAATTAAGCAGTCGGGGGGGGGGGTCAAGGCCATCTCCTGCATCAACCTGTTTCCTATCTGAATGGAGTTTATAACCCTATTTGCAAAGGCAGACAAATGGTCACAATAAAGAGTGACACTGGCTATGAGAAATGCGGAACATGCACATGCCACAGCAAAGAGCCTCCAGGATCCTGTGAAAGGCCCGGGGGAGTCCAAGTCGGAGGCCCACCCTTCCCTTAGGGTCTCCAGGGAACACTGAAGGGCAGAGAAGATTGCATCCTCCCCACCCCGCCGCCATGTTCATTCTGACAGGGATGTAGAGTCGGAGCACAGTCTGCACAGGAAGTTAACGCAAAGCTTTCCATTTAGATCCTGAACATCCTAGGCCTGGGCTCCTCAGGACCACCCATCCCCGCTCCTGTCTTGTTCTCCATCATCTCGTACCCAGCCAAGCGGCAGTCTCTGATCGCCACTGAGATCCTGAAGCACTTTGTGTTTGTGATCCCACCTAATGAAGACCTCCCCCTGATGGACGAGAAAAAAAAGATGGAAGGAGACTCAGACATCTTCCTCAACACCATCATAACCAAGGTAAAGGGTCTGCGGCTGGTCTCAAACTTGGCAGGATTCACCGGACAGGGAAGGAAAGCCACCCTCACAGGGGCACGATCTGAGTCAGGCATGGGGCTTGTTTCTCTGGACCTCCTGCCTGAGGAGCCTCCACAAACCTCTCAGTGAGTCGTCCCTGGGTCTACCCAGGAGGGGACTGAAAACGATTGCTATTCCTCATTTCCCTTCCCTAATCCCCAGGGGACAGTTTAGGAAATATATCACATTGTTCTGAAGCTCATATGCAAAAAAAATAATTAGGCAAAAACTGTTTTTTTTAATTATTAGTGTGTAACTGTCATGCCAAGTGACAGGGTCCATCCTGAGCGTCCGTCCAGTTGCATCGCGTGCTCTGACCATACTCCCCATGGCCCCTCCTGCCCTCTCCCACTAGTCCCCCTCCTCATCCCAAATAGTTCTGCTTCCATTTTCATACCATGTATGTGGATACATGTGTGTTGATAATACATACATACAGCATAATTTCTATACACTAGAGAAAGGGTGAGGTATTTGTTTTTCTGGTTCTGGCTTTTTCCACATAATGGTTTCTAATTCCATTCATTTTCCTGAAAATGATATAATTTCACTCTTTTTATAGCTAAATAAAACCTCTCTCTCTCTCTCTCTCTCTGTCTCTCTCTCTCTTCCTCCCTCCCTTCCCCCCCTCTCTATATGTGCGTGTGTGTGTGTGTGTGTGTGTGTGTGTGAGTGATTTTTCTTTTCCCATTCATCTGTTGCTGAACACCTAGGCTGACTACATAGCTTAGCTGTTATGAATAGAGCCACAGTAAACATAAGTACCTCTGCGGTATGTTGACATAGGTTCCTTTGTGTAGATTCCCAAGAGTGGTATAGTGGGGTCATAAGATAGTGGGTTTTTATGTTGTTTGTTTGTGTGTTTTTAGGAACATTCGTGCTGATTTCCATGATGGCTACAATAGATTGCATTTCTGATTGAATGTAGGTTTAATGAATCTCCCCAGTAAGAGGTTATTTTTTAACACATCTATTGATCATTCATACTTTGTCTTTTGAGAAGTAACTTCCATTTCATTTGCCTGATTGCTGGTTGGAGTTTGGTGGGGGGTGTTTAATTTCTGGGTTTTTAATCTATTCCAGCTATTAATCCATTATCAGATACATAGCATGCAAAAAGTATTTCTCTTGTCCCATGTGTTGTCTTTACTCTGCTCATGGCTTCCTGTTCTGAACAAGAGCTTTTGGCTTTCAGGCAGTCCAGTTGTTAGTTTTTGAAATGACTTTCTAAGCTGTTAGAGTCTTTTTCTGCCCCTGCCTATGTCAGTATCTTAACATGTTCCATCTGTCCTACCCTCTCTGATTCAGAGTTTCAATTCTTACATTAAGGTTCTTGATTCATTTTGAATTGCTTTGGAGGAAAAGATGGATGTAGTCTCTTCCCTCTACACGTGGGTACCCAGGGTTTTGTTTAGCACTGTCTGGTGTATACACTGTCTCTCCTCAATAGATGCTTTATTTTAACAAAGTTAGGTGACTTGAGCCCTATGGGTTTGTCTCTGGGTCCTCTGTTCTACTCTGCTGTGTGTCTGTTACCACACCTTCTAACTGACCACCACCATTGTTCTTTTTCCTCGCAAATGCTTTGGCAATCCAGGATCTTTGTGCTTCCATATAAAACTTAGGATTGTCCTAAGTGACTGTTGTCCTCAGACTTTTGAGAGGGGTTGCATTAAATCCAAAGATAGTTCTTGGTCTATTGTCACAATATTAATTCTGACAATCTGCAAGCATGAGAAGTCTTTCTAGTGGCTTCTTAATTTCTTTCTTCAACCAAAACTAGCTTATGACCTTGGTGTGTGTGTGTGCGTGTGTGTGTGCGTGCGTGGGTGTGTGTGTGTGTGCGTGCGTGGGTGTGTGTGTGTGTGTGTGTGTGTGTGACATGTGTTCATCAGTAAGTGAGAGTGTCCATAGGCTAGGGAAACAGAAAGAGGACCAGTAGAGGGGAAATGGTGTTGAGGGAGGAGGAAGGGACTCTGGACAGATGAAGGAGGAAAAGTGGTTTTAGGGTAGGGGCTTAAAGTGTACCAGGGTTGTCTGGCAGGGGAGGGAGTTGAGAGAGAAAATTCCCTCTGCCCAAAGGGAAATTAACAAAAGCAAATTGAAAATGCCATAATGAAACACAATATTGTGATATGCTAATTTTGAAAAACCCTCCCTTTTCAAAAAGTACAGCTATGTGTTTAGGGTGATCTAAAAGAGTATAAGAATACAAAGATTATGGATCAAGGGCACACACACCACTGGAGAAAATTAGATTATTTTTCAAAATTGCCATGGAAAGACTGATATTTTGCATGAAGTCACTTTTAAATCTCCTTGCCTGGCAATATGTAAAAGTACATTTCAGATGAGCTAATACTTTTTAATTAATAAAACAAAATCATGTAAATGTAAAAGAAATCATACATACCATTCATAGACAAAAATCACAAAAAGTAATTGATCTGAGCAATAACATGTAGATTGTATACATACCAAAATTATAACCATGGCCTTTATCCCAAGGGAGAATGGCAACCCAACATTTTAATCCCTTTGTATGCCCTTTCCAGGAGGAAATGAAACTAGCTGTTGGCCCTGACTACCTCACAGGCTGTATTCCATGTCCAATGTACAAGTACCTAAAAAAATTACCATCTGCAGTGAGCAGCATTGGTGTGCCTCACCAGAGCAGAGCATCCAATAATGACTCTGCAAAGAAAAGATGGGGAAAGTTAGTGCCATCATCTTAAGTGGCAATTGTGCACCAACCCCTTCTCCTGAAAACTGCCCCTGTCCAAAACACAGAATAAAACAAAAACGGTTAAGCAATCTTTAACTTGTCACAGAGAAGGAGCTCTGACTCCTTTGCAACTGAGAAGGAAAACTTTATTCTTAAGCCAGAAGGATAATAGCCAAATGTATTAAAGTGACGGTAGATTTACTGCATCATGATTGGACATCCATGAAACCTGATTCAAAGATACTACAGACAGGTGGTAACAAGTGTAATACGCTAATCTATAATATATAACCACTTGGGAACTGTCTCAATTACTTTCTATTCCCATGAAGAGATACCATAACCAAGGCAACTTATAAAAAAAAAACATTTAATTGGGGGCTGGCTTACACTTTCAGAGGGTGAGTCCATGACCATCATGGCTGGGTGTATGGCAACAGGTAGGTAATCATGGTGCTGGAGCAGAAACTGAGAACTTACATCTTATCTGCAAATTGGAGACAGGGAGAGAAAGAGTGACCTGGCGAGAGTTTTTGAGCCTCAAACCCCACCCACAGTGACACACTTTCTCCAACAAGGCCACACCTCCTAATGTTTCCCAAAGCAGTTCCACCAACTGGAAACCAAGCGCTGAAATATCTGGGGCTGTGGGGGCCATTGTCATTCAAGCCACCACAGGAACACATAACTATAAAATGCATGCCTAAGACACTTAGGGAAGTATTAACCCAGATCACGTGACATTACAGAAGCATTGTCCTCATTCGTGACTATGACCAACTCCGTCATCGTTTGGTGCAGGAGAAAGTCCTCATTCTGAGGAGACATGAGCTGAAGTATTTAGAAGCAGAGTTCTCAGACTGACAGGATCTAGAATCGCTGGCAAGATAAGCATCTGGACATGTCTGTGAGGAATTTTCTAGATTAGGATCAACTGAGATGGAAAGACCAACCCCAAATGTGGACAGCACCATTCTATTGCCTCGTAAACCCTGTGCTCAGTGAAAAAGAGAGAGCCAGCTGGACATGAGCATCCATCTCTCTCTGCTTCCTGAGGATGAGCACAGCAGGGCCAGCTACCTAGCACTCCTGCCTCCGTTACTCCCCCACCTCAGGAGACTCAAAAGTGGGAGCCAAAATAAAACACGTCCTTAGGTTGCGTTTGTCAGACATCTCTTCATAGCAACACATGAAGGAATGCAGTCGCCATCTGGAACTTGACTAAGGGTTACCAAAAGTTAGGATTGCAATATGCCTTCAGTCTTTAAAGTTTCCGAATATTAAAAAGTTAAAACATGGGTCTCTGTGAGTTCGAGGCCAGCCAGGGCTACACATAGGGAAACCCTGTCATGAAGAAGGGAGGGGGTGTGTGTGTAAATGATCAATAAATTTAAAATAAGAAAAAAACAGATTGAAAAGCATGAAAAATACACTCTAAGAAGTGGGGACTACTTATTAAATATGGCCAATTAGATTCAAATCCTTCCCAAAATAGCAAGAGATTCTTTGAAATCCCTTTTAAATTTTAAATTTAAATCCCTTTTAAATCTCTCTTAGAACAAATAGAAGGAGAAAGGAAATGATGGGAAATGGACTATGCCAATAAAATATTGGCCGTCATGTGGCAGGTGGCCAGAGAACCTGGCCTAGGCAATGTCAAGGAAGTTGAATGCCCAGCCATGGAGCACTGATGGGACCCTTCCAGGAGCTGAAACTCATCCCATATGCACCCTGTCCGTGATTGCTGTAGGGTTTCTACCTCCTCCTCGGGGAACAGAGTATCCAGAGAAACACCAATCATGTCACTAACTCATGAAATTGCTGGCCCCACCCTTTCCCATGACTACTGCTCACCAACCCGACTGCAGACATGCTATAAGCACCCCTCTGTCTTTATTGTGTGCCAGAAGTATTTAAAGCCTTTGTGTTCATTTTGAATTAAGGCCCAAGAGGAACAGCCCTCTCCACCTAAGGGAGGCAAACAGAAATCGAAAGAAAAATCAGAACAAGTGCGTGAAACTCAGAAGGACAAACGTCGCACGTACTCCGGCAGGAAAGGCCTCTCTGGGGGGACATCGGGGAGCATCGCCCCGATGTCTGACCTAGACCCGAACAGCTTTGATGGAGAACACTCCCAGGAGAAGTTCATCAGGTAGGCCTTGCAGGAACAAGGGAGAGGGAGGATAGAGCCCCAATTTGGGAGCACAGCTGTCACACCACAGAGAAGTGCAGGGTTATCCTGAGTGGGGCCTTACAGCTTGTCATGCCTAACCCCAGCTGCACAGGACCTGTCCCAGGCAGCTCTCCTGTCCAATTCATATGGTTACTTTAGAAGTCTGTGTGTTCGTTTCAGGCTGAATCACTTCCGGTGGATTGTGCCTCCAAACGGAGAGGTAACCTTGAGAGTACACTTCTCCTCTTTCGATGTCGGCAACTATGACCAAACGTTTAATTTTGAACTCCTTGGGACCCGCCGCCAATACCAGCTCTACTGCCGTGGAGTCTGCACCTACCCATACATCTGCAAAGACCCAAAGTAAGTGTGTTATTTTCAAAAGAAAAGGTTGAAAAGCATGTTTTTGAGTTACACACACACACACACACACACACACACCCTCAAAGCACTTTGAACTAGTGGGGACCAAAGAGAATGCTCCTCCAAGTGTGGACACCTGCATGCATGCATACACACACACACACACATACACACACAAACAATAAACCAACAACAACACTGAACTGGGAACACATCCCAGACCCCTCTTGTATCAGTACATCAGACCTTGAAATAAGAGCAGCATATTTGTCATGACACCACAGGGTATTTATTCCCAAACTGAAACACAATAAACATGAAGTTAAAAGACTGGGGGTGGGGGGGCGAGGGCAGGTGAAGGGGAGATATTCTTCTGGAAAGTGAGTCTGCATATTTAACTAGTAAGCGGCTTCAAAGCACTTTTGCTTTTACTCTAGGATGCCGTCCTGTAATGTGAATCTCCTTGAGTGGCTTTCTCTTAGTCACTCAACTCCCCTGTGCAGTTTATGTCTCACATAAACACACCCCTGGGGGAGCAAACTAGCAAGGTGACTCCTTGCTGGAGAGAGGGACCTTCTGTAGCTTGTCCTTGGTGTAATTATCACGAAGGACCCCTATGTTACTGAAGAACTGAAAAGCTAACTTAGCCACTGAAACTATTTTATAGTTTTTCCTAGAAATTCTTGTGAATTTTTCCTATCTGGGTGTTCTGGGGCAGACTATCCAGCTCAGCACTAGAAGCCTTTTTCTCAGGTTCAAGCCATTGCCATCTTCTCTTAGAAAGCAGGAGATAAAGCTTCCATAGACAGCCTCACGTTAGCTGTCTTCAGACACAGGAGCTTTCACTGAGCAGAGAGTTCTGGGTCCGTAGGATGCTGAACCTCCATTTATGTATCACTATTTTTACTCCTTCCTCCTCCTGTTCAGAGTTGTGTTCTCCCAGAGGAAGAAAGACATGAAGTTAAAAGAAGTCGTCATTAAGAAGTATGTAATGAGCATGGAGAAGTTTTACTTTGGGCCACTGCTTTGTGGAAAGTCAAGGGACAAGTAAGTATTTCATTATTTCAAAGTCAATTGCAGATTTCTGGGTTGTGTTCACAAATACTGCAAATGAATTTCTTTATATAATTGTGGCTTTTATTGACACTGCCCCAAATTCCAAACCAGGAGAATTAGATTCATGTGTCCCAAGTCTCTACTTTGTCACACAGACAACTCTGGTTCCACATTCCCTAGTGGGAAAGCCTAGAACAAGACCAGGCTTCAGAAAGGTGGAATCAAGACTTCACTTTGGGATGTATCAAGCCCAAGTTGTTTAGAAGATATCTCTAGGAACCACATAAATTGGAGAACAGAATATATGATTTGGGTTCTTGCAGGAGGGCTCTGTAATCAAGATAATAAGAACCATCAATACAGATATTGTGACACACAGAGAGGGTGAGACAAGGGTTCTACCAAGAGCTTCTCCATACCCAAGAGGAGTCCACAGTAGACATGAGAAAGGGGGGCATAGAGTCCCATGAGAAGACTGGACAGTCAATTCTGTCAAATGCTACAGGAAGATGGAAGTGCAAGCATCCACTGAGTTCAACAACATGGAGTCCATGGGGAAATTGGAACAGGAGTCCTTCTGGGAGAACTCTGGGAATTCTGCCCAAATTAGCACTGGGATTAACAACAGTGATTGCCACGGTCCAAAGACCCAGTGCAAGCGCCATTTACTTACTCACTTTAAACCTTGAACCTTGTCAACAAAAATAATGGGAAGACAACAGTGTCTGCTTCACAGGTTTGAGAGGACTAACTGGGTAACAAGCAAGAACTCTTTAGCATCCTGCCAAATTGCAACAGTGATGGGTAAGATGCTGAGGTTACCTCCTCTTTCCCAGTTACTCACAGGCTTGCCTGACTCTGATACTCTGATTTCAATCTGTCATTCTCTACCCTTCATCCTCCATCACAGGCTAGTCAAAGCTCTTCTCAGACTGTCTCGGCTTTCCTGGCCTGAGCTGTGATCTTTGATGATATATATATCTCTTATTCCTTCAGCCTTATTCAACGGTTCCTTTTCTGTTCATTGCCTTTAACAGAATGTCTCCCAATAGCCCCGAGGCCTACCTCTACAGATCTCTCCCAAGGACATTAGGGAGCAGAAGCAAACTTGTCATATGAACAAGGCCAGATAAATTCATGTCAGAACAGTAACAGTCTGTGAAGGTGTTGTGGAAGTGAGTGAGATCTAAGACAGGTGTCAAGTATCAGGTGACCCAAATGATAATCTCTCAAGGATAGGTGACCGCTTTTCCTGGAGCTCTTTCTAAGAACTAAAAATAACTATCATTCATTGGACGTCTTATATTTCCACTTGTTCTATGAGCTTCGAGTGCACAATATCAATACCAATCAACCCGAAGGGGTACTGTCACCCCATCTTACAGCTAAGACGACCAAGGCTTGTGGGGTCACTTCACAGTGCAGTATTCTCAGAGGCAAGTGAACAACCATAGATGTCATGGTCTCAGTCAACATGCCACCACCTTGGCACAGTCACGTTGGCCTTTCAAATTACACTGTACCTCAAAGGATCCTGTTACCCTGAACTCTCCCAGTCCTAGTAATCACACCCCCATTCTCATTCATCTCCAGGTATAAGACATCCTTGTTCCCTGGCAACATGGAGACACTGACGATCCTGAATGATTCTCCAATGGTGGTGGAGGCATACTTCTGTTTCCAGCATGACGTAAAAGCGAGTACCTACTTTCTAGAGCCCGTCAACATGACTCTGAAACCCAATGAAAAACAGGTACAATCAAAGGGGAGAAATTCTATCGGGGCGAGAATAGTCACAACCTGACATACCCAGTGTAAATGGACCTTCCTTTGACTTTCTCCCCAGTTACTAAACGTATGGGCCTACCCAACTGCAGTCGGTGTCTTTGAAGACAGCATTGTCTGCTGCATCAAGGAGAACCCCGAGCCAGCCATCTTTAAGTTAAGCTGCCAAGGAATTCGCCCAGAAATTGAGCTGGAGCCCAGGCAATTACATTTTGACCGGCTCTTGCTTCATAGGTAAGAGTTCCAGATAACTCAGGAACAGGAGGGGAAGTTCGAGAACATTTAGGTCTAGGGTAATCAACTGGTCTTGAGTTACTCTAGACTTTCTGGGTTTGTTGTTGTCTGTCTGTGTGTGTATCACTGGAAACTGAACTTGACTCAGAACCTTGTGCATGCTAGGCAAGTCACTCTGTCACTGAGCTTTCATGCCTCCCCCAGCCCATATTTTGTCTTTTAATTAAACCAAGGAAAGAAAAATCAACAGCCATCTACCAATATATTTGAGTTTTTCATATGCTTCCTTTCTGTGGCTCTGAATTTCTATCTGATGTCATTTTCCTTCATAACTCCTTTAGAATTGGTTATAATTCAGGAATGGCAGCAGCCACGAAATAATAATAATACACCACCGCTCAAGGCTGGATCACCAAACCAGACTGCTCACAAATAGCATCAGGCTTTACTCACGTTCTGGTTAGCCTTTTGTTGTTTTGATACATGCTAGGGTCATTTGGGAAGAGGGAATCTCAACTGAGAAAATGCATCTATGTCACTGACCTATAGACAAGTCTGCAGGGCATTTTCTTGATTGATGGTTGATGTGGAAGGGTGAAGCTCACTGTGGGTGGGGCCACCCAGGGTGCTCCTGGGTTCTCTAAGAAAAAAAAAAAAGCCTGAGCAAGCCACGAAGAGCACATGAGTACACAGCATCCTTCCACAGTCTCTGCTGCTTCAGTTCTTCCCGCCTTGACTTCCTGCCCTGACTTCTCTCAGGGATGGATTATAACCTTGGAGTTATAAAATTATGTAAACCATTTCTCCTTCTGGTTACAGTGTTTATCACAAAAATGGAAAGCAGACTAGAACAGCTAGTTATTTCAAAGACATAGACAATCAAAACACAGAGGAAGAAAGGTGTCTGGAGCATCTATTGCAACCTCTCACTTCCTGATCACATTGATCTTATATACTTCCGGGCCCAAATTAATAACCCAGCCTCAGCGGGCCAGTGGTGGCACACACCTTTAATCCCAGCACTCAGGAGGAAGAGAAAGGCAGATCTGGGGCTAGCCTGATCTTCTGAGAGAGTTCTAGGAAAGGACAGTCAGGACTACACAGAGAAACAAATAGTTTGTCTTGAAAAAACAAAACAAAAAACCCATAAACAAACAAACTAACTAAACAAAACCTAAGCCTCTAAGAAAGTGTTTTTTTAACTTATGTTTTTGATAACTTCAGTCAGTCAACAGGGAAAAAAAATGGTTTGAAAACATACATAATTTTGCATGTTGAGTGCTCACCTACCTCCAGGTAATCCATTGCCATCTATTCAGGATCTAAGTTTATTTATGTAAAGAATCCTAAATTAGGACATTGACAACATTCCAAACATGAGGGTTATTGTCTTAGTAAATATCACTAGTCTGTTGTATCTGACTAACATCAGGTTTACAGGAAGATTAGACCAAGTAACCTGCCCTGATTGGTCCCTCAGAATTGTCTCCAGAATTGGTAGAAAGTAGGTCACAAGACTTCAGGATCTTTAACCCATTCCTCACAGTAGCATGACTAAAAGCCATTAAAAGAAGTGATATAGTCCCCAGAATTCCAAATGTCACACAATCAATCGCAGAAACTATCTGCAGCTGGCAAAATCACACCTCTGCTAGAGCATGAGGCAAATCATAGTCAGCGGCTGTGAAGCAGCCCCAGATCCCCACACCTGGGATTAAAACGAAACATTTTCTTATAACACTCCTGTGTTTCTTAAAGGAACCAAAATTCCAAAATTCTCACTACATTTATCTTTCCCAGTACCCATCAGTTGCCAAGAGGTTCCTAGCTAAGGGTGGAACTTTGTAGGTTCCCTCCCCTGTCCGTGCCAGGATTTTGACTGGCTTAATCTTGTGCAGTTCTCGTCCATGTAGTCACAGCATCTGTACGTTCATGTGTGCAATAACACTGTTATATCCAGAAATATTGTACTGATACATCACTACAGATACCCACTACTTCTTGTTCTTATAATCTTTCTACTCCCTCTTCTCAGATTAACCCTCAGTCTTGTAGGGAACAGTGTGGCATAGATGTCACTTTTATAGCTGAGCTGTCTACAGTTTCTTATTCTCTACATGTTGACCAATTGTGGGATCCTGTATTAATTGCTATCTGCTGCAAAAACAATCTTCTCTGATGATGACTGAGAGATACACTCATTTGTGGGAATAAGGATAAGAACGTAAGAGACAGTTTGCTATGTCAGCTTGGCGGAATAAATGTATTAGATTCTCTTCCAAGGAGTATGACTTAGCCAGCCAAGAGGTGTTGTCCAGTTAACAGTGGCAGATGTGAGTTCTTAGTTGATTCTGTGGATTTTCTTGTGGTATCCTTGACACCCCTCCTCCCGGTTCCTACAATCCTTCCTCTCCCTCTTCCACAGGATTCCCTAAGTTCCACCTAATGTCTGGCTGTGAGTCTCTGCATCTGTTTCCATCAGTTGCTGAATGAAGCATCTCTGATGACGATAATGCTAGGATCCTGTCTACAAAAATAGAAGAATATCATTAGGAATCATCCCATTGACATTTCTTTTGCCAGTCATGATTGGTTCTATCATAGAACTCTGGGCTATTCAGCCTCTGGTTCCTGCCCCCCATATAAAGACTTGTCTTCCTTTCTTGACATGGGTCTCAGGCTGAACCAGACATTGGTTAGCCATTCCCACAATTTCTGCACCACACTTATCCTAGCACATCTCGCAGGCAGGACAAATGATAGGTCTAAGGTTTTGTGGCTGGGTTGGTGTCCCAATCCCTCCACTGGAAGTCTTACCAGGTTACAGGAGGTAGCTGGTTCAGACTCTATATTTCTCATTACTTAGAGTCTTAGCTAGGGTCACCTTCATAGATTCCTTGGAGTTTCAACTGCACTAGGTTTCTAGCTCATTCCTGAGATACCCCCCATTTCCAGTTGTATCTCCCAGTACTTTCTCCCTCTATCCTCCCCCAACTCGATCCTTTCTGTTCCCACCCACACCACCCCCAGTCCACCCATATCATGAATCCCTACTTGAGCCCTCCTTGTTACTTAGCCTCTCTGGGTCTGTGGACTGCAACCTTATCTTTTATCTAACAGCTAGTATCCACTTATAAGTGAGTACATACCATGTTTGTCTTTCTGGGTCTGGATTACCTGACTCAGGAAGATTTTTTTTTTCTAGTTCCATCCATTTGCCTGCAAATTTCATGATGTTACTTTTTTAACAGATGAATCATGCTCCATTGTGTAACTTTTCTTTATTCATTCTTCAGTAGAGTCACATCTAGGGTGTTTCCTATTTCTAGCTATTATAAATAAAGCTGCTGTGAACATAGTTGAGCAAGTGTCCTTGTGATAGGATAGAGTGTCCTTTGAGTATATGCCCAAGAGTGGTATAGCTGGATCTTGAAATATGTCAATTCCCAATTTCCTGAGAAACCACCATACTGATTTCAAAGTGGTTGTACAAGTTTGCCATCAGGAAAATGCAAATCAAAATGACGCTGAGTTTCCCCCAACATGCTGGCATGTAAAAAGAGTGCAAATAGATCCATAACTATCACTCTTCATAAAACACAAATCCAAGTGGATCAAAGACCTCAACATAAAACAAGACACACTAAACCTGATAGAAGAGAAAATAGGAGATAGCTTTGAATGCATTGGCACAGAAGACAGCTTCCTGAACAGAACAGCAAAAGCACAGACACTGAGGCTGACAATAAACAGGACCTTATGAAACTGAAAAGCTTCTGTAAGGCAAAGGACACTGTCAATAGGGAAAAAAATGGTTGCCTGTGGAATAGGAAAATATTTTTACCAACTCCACATCCAATGAGGGCTAATATCCAAAATATATAAAGAACTCAAGAAACTAGATATCAATAAGCCTAGTAATACAATTTATAGTGGAGTACAGATCTAAACAGAGAATTCTCAACAGAGGACTCTAAATGGCAGAGAAACACTTAAATATTCAAAATCCTTAGCCCTCAAGAAAGTGCAAATCAAAATGATTCTTGAGTTTTCATCTTACACCTGTCAGAATGGCTAAGATCAAGAACACAAGTGACAGCTCATGCTGGCAAGGATGTGGAGTAAGAAAAGTTATACCACAATATTTATATTTATATTATTTTTACTATATTTATATTATTTGTGGCTATTTTGAAGGGTGTTATTACCCTGATTTCTTTCTTGGCCAATTTATCATATATAAGAGGGCTACTGATTTTTTTTAGTTAATCTTGTATCTAGTCACTTCACTGAAAGCGTTTATCAGCTGTAGAATTTTTGGGGTTGCTTATGTGTGTCTGCATCTGCAAATAGTGATACCTTGACTCCTCCCTTTCCAGTTTGCATCCCCTTGATTTCCTTTGGTTGCCCTATTGCTCCCGCTAGAACTTCAAGTAATATAACGAATATACAATGGAGAGAGTGGACGACCTTGTCCTGTTCCTGATTTCAGTAGAATTACTTTGAGTTTCTCTCCACTTAATTTGGTGTTGACTATCGTCTTGCTGAATATTGCCTTTATTATATTTACATATGTCTCTTGTATCTCTGATCTCTCCAATACTTTTATCATGAAAGGGTGTTGGGTTTTGTCAAAGGCTGTTTTATAATCTAATGAGATGGTCACGTGAGGTTTCTTTGTCACAGTTTGTTTGTATGGTAGATTACACTGACAGATTTTTGTATGTTGAACTTTTCCTGCATCTGGGATGGGGCCTACTTTATCATGGTGGATGTTCTTCTTGATGTGTTCTTGGATTCAGTTTGCAAGAATTATTGAGTATTTTGCATCAATGTTCACAACAGAAATTGGTGTGTAATTCTCTTTTTTCGTTGAGTCTTTGTGTGGCCACATAAAATGAACCTGATAATATTCCTTCTGTTTCTATTTTTGTAGAATAATTTGAGAAGTATTGTTATTAGCTCTTTTTTGAAAGTCTGGTATAATTCTGCACTAAAAT